GTTTATTCTTTCCGATTACAACTTTACCGATACACTTAATTTCAACAGTCGCTCTGTAACAAACGCTATAATTCTCAACGAACGTCTCACGTGCTCGTGCTCGACAATACTCAGTTCAATTACACATATATTGTTCCCGTCATTTTGTGACCGTCTTATATATACAAGACTAACACATATCTAGTAAACGCTAGAGCATTCATGAAGGAACAGGATATTTCTATAAGGAGGTGGCGTGATACTAGTTACGTGACCTCGCTGACTCAACAATATTCTTAACATCCTCCTAATGTACCACATTTAGATTTTTTGTACTGCTTTGCGTAGCTTTACTAATTTCCAACTTTCGCGTCCATATAAAAGAATGGACCAGACACAACATTTTAGAACACTTATTTTTGTGCCAATGGTGAAATTCCAATGTCCTGAAATGCTTCCTTAGATAATGCTATTTTCTTTTTAATCTTTGAATTGCCCCTCCCGCCTGATGTAATGGAGCTTCCCAAGAGGCTGAATTTCTAAACTTACTTTAATTCTTTTCCGTGTATTGCTATTGTATATTTGGTATTGTTCCTTTATTGGTTATAACCATACATTCTGTTTTGTTTTTTGATTAACTGAGAGATCATGTTGTTCACTTTCGATGACAACTATTCAGTATTATCTGTAAATCACCTTCAGTTTATAGTTTATAACAGTATCTTTTAAATGGAACATTGTTGTAAACACCTAGTCAATACTTTATCATCCAAGCAAAATGTAATTTATTCGCAATATTTCAAATTCTAAAAAAAAAAAATACATTAAGGGGTTGTGAATTTTGTTATCACATTTGTTGCAGGCTTACCGAATATAAACAAACTAGACTAAAACAACAAACCTTCATATAGCACAGTTTCTAAATTCCCCCGTTTTTGATAGAAAGAACAGAATTGAATATATATAAGCATTTCCTCTAAAACAGCAAAGTAAGTGTTATCTGTACTGTAATTATTAACACAGTTATGATATTTCTGGTATATTGAACTTCTTGAAAAACAAATTAAGGAATGAAATAAAAGAAGTGAAACATTACTTGAACGGCCATAACAGTCATTTGTATATTTAGAGTTTTTAACAGTATGAATATCACAAGCATTTCAAAAATTTGTTTGAAGTGTCTTCAGTATGTTACAGAATCCTCATTTTACTATATTTCATAACAGATTAAATGTGACAACTCTAGATAATAAATTTTATTCATAAAAGTTCATACTTATAATAATATTTTTATCATTGAAATTTATCTTTTCACTATATTCCGAGACCTTATTTCAAACAGCTATATAGAATATGATTTACATAAAAAATCCATGAAAGACCTTTTCGTGATAATAAGATATTTGTGTTTGTTTCAGTAATTACACTTCCAGATAATTTATAATTAATATGTATTTTTTAATTTTACAACATTAATTCTAATAAGTAAAAATATTTTCACTTGTTAAAATTAATGTTCTACACATCAATTCCTACATCATTATGTAGCCAAGACACACCAAACTTTTCAAACATTTGGTCAATTCATAAATTATGATGAAGTTTAGAACATAAAATAGTTAATTTCTAAATCTAATGATAATAAATAAAACAGAATATGTTTCAGCGAAGGAAATTCGATAATACCCATTAACAATGTATTGTTGTAGCATTGTTCTTTCGTTGGCGAGTTTCTTTTAAATTATCTGGTGAAAATAATTCAAACTATAGTCCATGTAACGAAAATATATTACTTTATTTCACCTTTTTTATATTCCCACAAGCTTGAACACTTGTATACGTCGTATATTGTTGTAGGCCTTGTCAAATTACCTTAATAAAGGTAAAACAAATCAAGTTACTTAATAAGCGCGATAGCGAATGCAGATCCAAATAATTCTCAAAACACATTGACTGATTCAACTCTCCACCTTGAAAAAACACACCAAAAATCAACAAACAAACGAACAACAACTCTAAATACTTCGCAAGTATCTCATATATAAAATCTAACCTCGAATATGCTATAACACTTTACATCACGTCCTTATAACTTTTTAGGTATTCTAGGCTTATCATGTTAAACCTTTACCTACAACAATTTTTTTACTTAGTCTTTTTCTATGCAGTCGGCTGACAACGAAGTTCGAACAGCTGTATAAAAAATTTAAGTCAGGTCTGAATGCATACATAACACTAATGCCGCAGTGTAATATGTATATGACGATCAATACTATTTAAGCAAATTTTTTTAGGATATTACACCATACGTCACACAATGCGGTTGTGTGTATATATATCAGTATTGTAGAAAGAGTTGCAAAGTGGGGGTGCTTGGCTAGACATGCATATTTTACACTGAGATATTGAAAGTATAAGGAAATGCCCCAAACAGCTCAATCTATGGGGGTCCCCTAGAAATTAATATAATGAAACAACTTACAGTTGCTATATATAAGTCAAATATGTAAAAGTGGGGGTGCTATAGCACCCCAGGTTCAAACGCCTCTGTATATATATATATATATATATATATATATATAACTCGAGTGAAATAGGAGAAATTATTAATTAATGAATTTATACAATAATTTACTTTACCAAGAGAGATCCTAATAAACTATTCTCTAGTCAAACAAGTATAAACATTTCTTACGGTTGGCAAAAAACATTAGACTTGCAGTTTACCCCTCGCGGTTATCTAATCTTGCACTAATTGTGTGCTTTGATAGCTTAATAAATTTACCGCCCACACGCCCAGAAAAGTGTTTATCCCTTTTATCTATTTCGTTATTATTTAACTAAATATTTCACGATATAGAATGATCCATGAACAATAATCTAAAATATTTTAATCCAAAGTTTTGTCACTTATTACGGGAGTAAAACTCCCCATTACGGGGAATACTGGACTATTTTTTTGGGAAAAAACATATGCTTTCCTCACTCTCAAGCTGACGCATGTCACATAGTTACGAGTGTGCGTAATCATTGATCTATATACAGTGTAGAGATCAGTGCGCGTAATACTGACTTGACCCTCAACTGCTGCCACCTAGTGGTATATATTTCATTAAAGTTAAAATAGAAATATGGCAGGAAGTAGCTGTGATCGAAGTTGGCGGAATGAGACATTTCGTCAGAATGTTGGAACCAGAATGTAAGTCATGTTATATTATCAAAAGTTATGATAATGTATTTAGTACCTTTCTAAGTACTCTCAGAGAAATTGAAACAAACAGTGAAAGTGCCAATGAATTTGAAAAACTGGTTCTGACTAGCCTTCAAGTACTCATGTAACGCTCGAACTTAGAAGTTTTTTTATGTTGCCGAACTGATACAACAGGAAGCGGCTAGGCCTAATATTATTCGTCGTGAATAGTATGACTAACTGTTTTAGTAATACTAATAGTGCCAGTGCGAGATATAGTTAGCCATGGTTTGAATTAGATTTAGGACGTAAATGATGAAGATCACTTTATTGTCTTGTACAGAAGATTAAGACAAACAATTGAAGATTTTTTGATTTAGCCAGGATATCTATATAGATCAGTTTAGACTTAGGCCCAGATTATTGTGGTAGTATTATTGGTGTCCGTATCTATGACTATGAGTATAAAATTTGAACTACAAAGGATGTTATTAGAAAGGATTCAGAGAAGGGCTATATTACGATAATTTTATTGATGAAGGGTTATTTTATGGGGATAAATTAAGATCTTTTGAGAAATGAAGGGTAAGAGATGAACTTGTTATTGAAATACATACTTTTAGTTTTAACGTTAACATAGTACATGGGGCATGCACCAAACTATCAAAGTGTGTGTGTGTGTGTGTG